TAACAAAAATGTTATCCTTCTAAATACAGTTAATTTACACAAACCTCGAACACAAAAAGATATTGCTCTGGCATTGGAGTTGAAAGTAGTTTTGGTTCCCCAACTATAAGTGCCTTTATGAGTTCAATACCGAAATTGCGGTTTGCTCGTAAATTATTACAAATACTGCTATCCAGTTGCCGAAAAATTGCGTTAACGCATGGTAAAGCGTTCCACTCATGCTAAATTTTAATGTGTATTAAGAAAAAATATTAAGAAAATTTTAAATATATTTATAGTACATAGACACATACATTATAATTTTCAACAACAGTTTCCCAAGCATGCGAAAATGGTCCGTGGCCTATATCATGTAATAATCCAGCAATCTACAATCAAAACTTATTAATTTTAAATGAATTATAAGTTATAATAATATAAGTGTTTATATAAAATTACTAGAAAAATTTTTAACCTCTACGGACAACCGATATACTGGCCAATCCTTGTCTTTTGTAATCCATTTACTATTTATTTCTAGTTTATTCAGCATTCTCTTACTAGCCCAATACGTCCTATAAAAATATATTTTATCACTGGAATAGTGTAAAGAAATCATATTTACTTACCCAATACAATGATCGTATCTTGTATGCACTGTTTCTGGTTTATTCACAAACATCACACCCAATTGTTTGATATTTTTTAAACGTTGGAATTGAGGAGTATTAATGATTTGGACGATGTCATATGGAAGCAGAATTTGACCATGTACTGGATCAGCTATTTCTAACTGTAAATAGCAAATTTTACGATTAGTGTATATTTAATACAGTTGGTATTATTTAAAGTTTAAAGAAATATAAAAAATTGTTTATTTAATTTAAAGTAGCATTAATACTTATTTGGAAAAATATAAAACGAATTATAGATTAAATAAAAACTTTTATGGCACGCTATTGATATAAATATATTTTATAGCTACTACTTCTGTTATCTTAGCGATACAACATTGTTATAAATTAATTCATCACTAATCGTAATTTAATAAAAATTTTTAAATCTGGGACACAATTTTATCAGATTTTTTTTCACAATTTAGTAATTTTTTAATGTTTTACAAGTATTTGTCGTTTTAAATGACAAAATACATACCATTTTTCCACACATAATGATTCATAAACGGTTAAAGTAACAATATATTTAAATTTCGTTCTTATCTTTAAACGGAGCAATTTTATAATAACTTCATAAACCAAAAATGTTGATATAAATGTTTACAAGAACCAATCAGCTGATTATTTTCTCAAATTCCGTATGATTTTAATTTTAATGCTGCCACACCTTTTTCAAATATGCTAAAGCATGAAATGCAGATGGCGCCACCTTCTTAAGTCTCAGATTCACACAATACAATTAATATATTCAATAATTATACTATGTTCAGACAGTCAAATTCTCTTAATGTCATAAAAATGAAATTATGTTAACTTGGAAAGTGTTCATATTGCCAAATTAAAGAAATCATATGTTTTTTTGTTTACAAATCGAATGTTTTGTATCTGAAAAATTTTAAAAGTTAATTATTATAACTATAAAGGATGGCATTCAGTAGTTTTATTAGCTTTAGTGGATTTCAGGTATGTGAATTATTATTCTTCATTCTATTTTGAATTAATAACAGTTACAGTTCTTTCTCTTTATTCAAATTTAAAAATTTGCACTACTTTCAAAATATTTTCCCGATTTTATTAAAGTCAACTGTCATTGACATTTTTTTTTTTAAATTGTCACTTTTTCGTTATCTCCACTTTATCTTTTTCTTATCTTACACATAATTGCATTTAAAATGTCCTTTAATTTCAGTCTTCGTTTCAACGAAATTAAGGCAATTTTCCTTACTTTTATTCTAAGCTTTACACCACAACCTACTCATAGTAAAATTCAAGTAAAACACAAGGTGCTATCATTTACTGATGGAACGCACTTGTGTATATGTAGTGTTACTCAAAGTTACTACGAGTAGCTCGTGGAACAGACCTAGTATTGTTTTGCATAATAACAACAAACATCACAGCTTAAGTGGTCTTTGAGTGATTCTTTAGTACCCAATATCGAACACTGCCGTAAGATAATTCAAGATGATGTTCAATTATTGGGCTGTACAATAGCAATCTAAACAATAAAGTTTGTTGTAAGAAATCTATATATTTTTGGCAACACAGATTTACCAAAATGTTATTAAGGCCTTGTGCGAGTTCGACCAAATTGATACTAAATTGACGGAAATAGTAAATTATGTCGTTATGACAGCGAATATTATAGGGTAAATTAGATAAAAATGAGATAAATTAGGTGTTATAATTGTGAAAATTTTATAAGATTTTTAAAAAAATAAATAAATAAGAAAACTTTTAACCAATAATAATAAATAAGTGCAATAATAAAATAAATAAATATTTACATAAGTGCAGTGCAAAAAATCCATAGGAAATTTCAATTTACTTTACCTCAGTTTAATCGAACTCGCAGACGGCCTAAATATCAATTTATATTTATTTAAAGTAAATTATCTAAAACTCGATGAATGGAGTTGTATAATTGTGAAATTACAAACAAATGATTTTATTTATACTAGCGCTCATTTATGAAAAAAACAAAGCAACCCAAAAATAATGTAAAGAATAAAAATTTAGCATTTTTTGGAAATTTGACGAATACGTTGTGTGCGGAATCAACTTCAAGAGTAATTGATTCAATTTGATGATAGTGGCCGTAGACTTCAGACACGGTGTATTGCTTGGTGAAAGAATTGTTATTCATTTGTTTTTAATTTATGGACGTTGTTTAACTACTTCTTCTTTCAAACGCAACAATGGAACCATGAAGTGAGCGCTATTAACAGTATTGCTTTTCTCAAGGTAGTAGATAAACAAAATTTCACGCGTATCTCAATCGAATATTCACATTGTCTCATTTATGGGGTTTGCTCATTATAACCATCAATGAGAATGATTTACCATACAAAAATCTTACAGATAAATAGGCTCATTATCAATAAATCAGCTTATTTTATTCATTTATAGCAAAAAAATGTCGAATGCAACCGCTAAAAATAAATTTCCCATAAGGGAAATTACCAATATTTGAAATATGTGTCATATGTTTCATATGTATAATGTGAACAAACAACAGCTGAGCTGTAAACAGAAGCACTGACAAAATACGTATTTAATAAAGTCTCTGTTTTTATTAATTGAATATGTAATTGATATATAAAATGTTTATAAATGATTTAATATATCAATTATAATTTAATTTTTTTGTGTTTTTTAATTATTAAGTGGTATTTATAAAAATTTATAAAAGTTATATCAGCTGCATAAATGAGCTCATTACAATGTGAACGTTACTATATAACTTATTTTTTTAATTTATTACTTTTTAATTTGGTTGCCGGCTATTAAGTTTTATCATCATTATTGCAGTCAAATTCACTTCAGAAAGATTATACTGCAAATATCTTAAAATTAATTTTGGATATAAAACTGATCTCTCATCGCTTATTTGTGTAGCACGATATTTTTATACAGGAATACTGTTCCTGTATTTCCTCAAGTGAGCATCAATATTAATCAATTATTTCTTGTTTTGATCTATTTCGTATTATGTGCACCGAATATCTTCGCCACATATATTATCTTCCTTCTCAGGCTAATACTCTATCTACAGCAAATTGGACTTTGGCAATATTTTTGTACACATTCTCATATTTTCAGATTTGTTTGCTGACAAAATTCAAAAATAATAGGTATTTGCATTAGAACATAAATCTTGCCAAAGTCTAGCCAGTGTAAACAACAGGTAGAATTAGAGCATATAATGCATGCGATAACTATTGTTAGATTGATAACCGTATGCCTCAATAAATATTCAGACAATGTATTGCTATTACTTTTTCGTTAAAAATTTTTTGATAACAACATTTTTTTTTTCACTGCTCACACATCGTGAGCATGATATCGATTACGGACATTTTTCTACGAACTTCAACAACCATGACAGTTTGATCTTCACCATAAAAATGTTCAACCCAAACAAAGTTTTTTGAAAATTAGTATTAAAAAAAACATAATAATGTTTGTACCACACATTGCACTTATGTGCGCACAAAATGAAACAAAATGCAACAAAAAATATTCAATACATATAGTAGCACTGCCCATTGTGTATAACAGGACTGTCCAAAACACGGCCCACAGGCCGCATGTGGCCCGCGTCTAATGTTTTTGCGACCCGCGGTATGATTTTAATTTACTACAATTATGCAAATCTTCTTTTGGTGTAAAACCACATTATTTTATTTTCGTGGTATATGTACCAAATATATGAATTTAAATTGATAAATTATTAAAACAAAATTTAGAATTAGAAATTGTCGAAAACAACTACGAACGTATATATTTTTTTCATTGATTTGTGTTGGTTCGCGATCGCATGTGGTCTGGACAGCCCTGGTGTATAACATACTGCATATAATCTAATTCATACTATTGAATTCGAAAAACATCAACAGTTTTATAGTTACTCCATAATGTCTCAAACTAAACTTTTATAATAGGACAATTTTATGAGAAGTAGCACCGAAACATTAAGAAAATAAATTTCATATTTATATGTCTAATATTAATACCACACGCATTTATAATAAATTTTTGAAAATGATTTTCCAAAACATTTCTTAGTTTTATCTCAAATCAATAGTTCAGACCGTTATATTGTAGGTAACAAAAATTAAGCTCGTAAGAACAAGGTAATCAAACCATCTGTAAGTTGCCGATATTGGCAACACTTTACAGTTTTAATAATTTTATTATTAACATATTTAGCAGCAGTGAACATCGAATTAATGTTGCTGACATATTTTTTAAAAAAAGTGTTATAAAATTATGTTATTATTATTAATTTTTTCATTTCATTATAAATAAATAAAATTTTAATAACACAAAAGTGCACAAAAAAGATGTACAGCTATAGTTTTTAGCAGTACACCACTGACATATTTTTCATAAATAAATTAATGCGCTCAGGAGTAATTTGTTGATATACTCATAATTTGAATACTAATCACAATAATTGACATTGAAAACAAAATTAAAAACGTGCATTTAGTAGATAAATGAAAGTGAAATTGACCTACAGAGTTTACAAAATTTGTATGGAATTAAAACACTTAAACGACGGAGAGAATTTCGAATACTCAATAAAGTTTATTTATGATAAAAGCCATATAAGTGAAGAATTTTGGTTTGCTCTCTTTTGGTCTCCTGGAATCCAAAACAGTTTTTTTTTTATTTATTATTTAACTTAAAACTTTGTTAATATGGCAAAATGTGTTTATTAAAGAAATTAATATAAATAAATATTGGAAATATTCTTTTCTGAAACTAAGTTGTAAGATAAGTTAAATTGATATCAATCGAAACAATAAATTTCAGTATAAAAAATTAACAACTTCAATGTAATTAAATAATTAAATCAAATATAACAAAAATAAATGTAAAAATTTATTCAGTAATATAAACATAAAAGTTTTTAATCAAAACAGAAAATGTAAACCAAACAATAAAAAGCCGGCTAAACTTATTTTTGTTTTGTTCTGCATGAAAAAGTAATAAGTAAAAAATGTTGTTGGGAGAGTATATAAAATTCAAATGTACAGTGGCGGTATTTAAAATGATGAAACGGAAGCATAAGTCACCTTCTTAAGCACTAGTAATTATACAATACAGAAAGAGTTATTTCTAAATAAAATTAATATTATATTAATATTATATCAATATTATATTGAACTTTTCTTCCTAAAAAAAAAAATTCATACATTAGTGTGCATAAACAAACAAAACAATTTGCATATTGAATATATTCGGCAGGTAAGTACTTTCTAATTTTTTTTTGTTTAATATTTTTTCTAATAATGTCAGGATAGAAATTAAATATTGTAAAATATATCGAGAAAAAAATTAAAAACAAAACTAATAAATTATTCTGTTATTTGTGACCAAAAATATTATATAATAATTTATTAGCAAACTAAGTTTCCCTGAAAATGAATACCGAACATTGTCGAAATATCGGAGAAATATTTTAATAAAATATAATTTGTTTTTAAATATAGATAATAAATTATAGTTTTTTATTTCTATTTAAATGACTAATTAGCCCGCTTATAAATTATTACAAAACTGATAAATAAATTTT